GTGGAGAACAGAAGACCCTCTCCTGGCCTCATCTTTAGCCTTGTTTTCCGTTCAGTAGCTATAGATGCTTTTATTTGGTGTAACTTTGGGTGGTGTGGCTCCCTGGGCTTGTGGTCCCCTCGGAGCCCAGGGTCTTTTTCATGGTGCAGCTTTTGAGCCAGACCTTGCTCTTCTTGCACTTTGTTTTTCATCTTGCCCTTTTCTGTTGAAAACTTCTGACTCTGCTGACGGTGTGAATCTGGCTCTGCCTCCTAGCTGAATGTCAGCCCTGGTCTGACAAGCTGATCCAGTCCCATTTCTCTGTCTAAGTCACCAGTACGGATGACCGGGGTTAGTGGGAGGATGGGCACTGCAGCAATGCCCGTGGCTTTCTCCTCTCGGTCAGAATCGCTGGTGCTAGGAGGGCATTGCTAGTCTATGTTCTGGTTTTCAAGACTATCTGGGGGAGACTAGGTCACGCATTCTTTTGTCCCCCAAATTACTAGCTTAGTAATCCTTTGAAAAAAGGAATCACGTTACAGGTTGGTAGGCTTTTGGTTGGTTTTTTGTTTTGTTTTGTTTTTTTGCCAAACCTGGTAAAATACTTTGAAACTGTACTTTATAAACCAGAACACCAAGATACACAGACGTTATCTCACCTGCTGTCTCTGCAAGTCACGTGTTGCTCAGTGCCGACATCTCTTTGAGCTGCTGCCTCTGCCATGCCGTGGCTCTTAAGTCTCTGGAACGTTCAGTGCGTGTGAAAAGCGAAGCCCGTGGCAGCATTAGGAGTCAAGGTGCTGAGCTGGCGGGTGTGGCACACAGGCACCGAGTCTCTTCCCACTCTGTTATCACAGTGGGAACCTGGGAGGAGACGACCTTGCCTGTGTCTGACCTGAGCCTGCGAACCTGAGGTCAAGGGGTCAGGGGGCTTCTCTTGTTTTGACTTTTCTGGTTTCCTGACCTTTCCCACCTGACATGTCTGTAGTCCTGGGACCAGAACCCTCATGGGCACCTGAGCCATGGAGGGGCCAGTGCAAGTCCTGCCTGGGTACCCAGGACAGCAGGTGTCTGAACAGGGTGCTGAGAGGTCAGGCCTGGTAAGGATCAGGCTCCGAGTGTCCTTGGCAGGTCTTTTTCCTGTGGAAAGGAGGACGTGGTGATACCCTGGGTCATCTATCTCTATAGCTGACTTTATGGTGACTGAAATTATAAAATATTTAAGATGTTTGGTTGCAGAAAGTGTCACGGGTGGGTGCAGCTGTCAGTTATAGAGACTAAAACTGAAAAGTCCTGAAAAGGCACGCTCTTAATTTAGTCCATCAGGAAATTGTCCTGGTAAAGAGTTAAAAAATTCGGAACCAAGTAAAGGTCTTTACACAAGTCTAGTTCATGTAAATCAGTGTTTCTCAACCCTTTTTATCTCACTGCACACTTGAACCTATAATTAAACTTCTACAGCACACTTAAAGTATGTTGATCAAAAAAAAAATTAAAAAAAAGGAATATACTTACTGTGTTGTGAACTTCTTTTGAAAATAATTAGTGGTCTTTCAAAATTTTTCTGGTACGTCTAAGATCCTCTCACAGCACAGCAGTTAAAAATCACTGCTTTAAAGAATCTCTTTAGGGTGATTCTGATAATGCCATTTTTGGGGTTTAGGAAAAAAAGATTGTATTCCCAAGACTTCTTAGCAGTCGCAGTAAGAGAGCTTGACTGACATCATTGTTTTCTTCTTGTTCTTTTTTAAAAAGAATCTCAATAATGACTCCTAGGCTTTCTTCCTGTGTAATTTTGTAGTGTGGCACTTTCCCCTTTCCTTAACCTTTAAGAATGGCACCATTTCCTCCCGCCCCCGCCTCCCCAGACTTGTCAGCCCTCAGTGGAACTGCGAGGTGGCTGGGGAATGGGGTGAGAGCAGAGCAGTCACCCGCTCCTCCATTCATTCCCCTCCCTGCCAGTGTGAGGCAGAGCCAGGCCGGAGCGTGATGCCACCCGCTTGACCGCTGAGGGCTACACCCCCACAGTGGTTCAGAGTTGGGAGCCGGTCCTCGCTGACCCCACGTGGTCACCAAACTGCGCCAAGCACAGTGCTGCTGGCACAGGTCCAGGGTGAGACCTTCTCACCTTCCCTTAGAGACCTGGGGAGGCCAGGTGGCCAGCGGCACCTTACTATTTATGGAGTTACACAAATCACATCCATCGTTTACAGAAATAATGGCCGTTATGAAGCCAAATATGGGGGGGAAGACCTGGGAAAAGTCCTTTATTATAAACACTTGGGAAAGGAAGTCCAGTCAGGAAAGCATCTTGTGTGGAGTCCAGAGTGTGTGTGGGGCTCAGTGCCCAGAGCTCAGTGGCTGAGGCACTAGCCACATACAGCAGGGCTGGTAGGTTCAAACCCAGCCCAGGCCTGCTGAACAACAATGACAGCTACAACAGCAACAAAAAAATAGCTGGGCATTGTGGTGGGCACTTGTGGTCCTAGGAGGCTGAGGCAAGAGGATTGCTTGAGCCTGAGAGTTTGAGGTTGCTGTGAGCTGTGACGCCATGGCACTCTACCAAGGGTGACACAGTGAGACTCTGTCTCAAAAAAAAAAATGTGTGTGGGGAAGGTGCATTTCTGCAGGAATCTCATTGTCCAAGGACTGCTTTGTAGGAAGTCCTGGAGGCAGGAGGACCGCTGTCCTGCTGGGCGGGTTAGCCTGACCCAAGGAGGCGGAGTCCACAGGGATTGCAAAGGAATGTTCCAAGACGGGTTTCACATTCACATGATGAGCGTCAGTGTGAATGAAACAGAGGCTGAGATGCCCTTTTCCTGTTTGACTCCAGGTTAAATACACATTCTCGTCCGCAGAGCTGCCCAGAGCTGCCCTGTTTGCTTTGTGAGATGCCTCAGTTGCTGCTTGCGTGACAGACAAATAAGTCTGACTTCGTTTAAATGTTAGCTTTCCAGAGTCAACGGGCGTCAGGCAACTTATTCATCCTTTGTCTCACTTGCTCACCAGTTCTGCCGTTCACCCCATGCTGGTAACACTTTTTACATGGACATGATCCTTTAAGACAGCTTAAGCTCACCACCTACTCAGTTATTGGAAACCAGCCTTGGTCACCCTGCTCCTAGGGGCTGCAGGGGTGCCTTCTGGGGTAGGCATGGGGAACCCTTTGGAATAGGTTTTGTTTTTTTTCTTAAGCAGTTTGAGGAGAGTCCTAAGAGTTACCTCCAAAGATATACTTGGAACATTTTTAAAGACCATTCTGAGGAGGAAGATACCTATATTCCACTGAATGTTAAAATCTCAAAAAAACCTTACTTAAAAGTTAATAACATGAGGCCTTCTTGTAAGAGGACGCCGGACAAGTTAATCTACCCCCACCATGATTTGACTGTGGGACAGAAGACTAGTGAGGACTTGTAGGGGGTACCGAATCCCACGTTCTGCAGTTTGGAAGGTTTTAAGACACCTAGAAACTCTTCTCCATCTTCCAAAGTTAGATTTCTAGGTGCAAATGAATCTGAGTCTTAAGCACAAACTTCACTTTTGCAGCGTATCTTCTCTGACTTTGGAGAAGCTTTAAAGCCTCAGAGCCCAGCCCACGCTGTGGTGGTGGTTGTCATGATTGTGTGACGTTCCTTAGGTAAGGCGAGAGGGTCAGGCCACACCATACCTCACAGTGGCCGAGAGCTTAGCCCAGGCCACGGCTCAGACGCTCCTTGCAGGCCCTTTACCTGTGGGAACTCAGGGTGGGGCTGCTCCCAGGTACACCATTCCTCTGAGCAGCCCGTATAGGTCAGTAGCCTCACACCCCTCAGGACTCAGGGGCCTCTAGGGAAATTTTTGGCCTCAACAGTTCAGGACTTGAAATCTGGAATTCAGGGGAGATGTGCAGGCTGCCTCCCTGGGTGGGGCAGGGTGTGCTGCGCAGCCCAGCGGTTTGCCGCAGATACTGGGACCCCGTGGACAGAGCAAGCTGCGTTGCCTCCCTGCCTCTCTGTGCCCATGCACGGGTGGGCTATGCCTACATTCTTCAGTTTTCGTACCCTAGGACAGCAGTCCCCAACCTTTTTGGCACCAGAGACCTGTTTCTTGGAAGACAATTTTCCACAGACTGGGGGCTGGGGCATGATGATGGTTTTGATCTGAGTCTGCAAACCACTGATGTATTGGAATCTCTGTGCAGCCAGACCTCTCTGCTGATGATCATCTGTATTGCAGCCGCTCCCCAATGCCGGCATCACCCCCTCAGCTGCACTCACATCATCAGGGGTTAGATTCTCACAGGGAGACCGCAGCCTGGATCCCTCCCACTCACATCATCAGGGGTTAGATTCGCACAGGGAGATTGCAGCCTGGATCCCTCCTACTCGCAGTTTACAGTGGGGTTTGTGCTCCTCGAGAATCTAGTAACTCTAGTTATGCTGTTGATCTCACAGGAGGTGGAGGGAGCTCAGGCGGTGGTGTGGGGGATGGGGAGCGGCTGTAGACACAGAAGCAGCTTCTTTGCTTACCCTTCCCCCAGCTCCTGTTGACAGCCCAGTTTCTGACAGACTGGGGGCCAGTACTAGTCTGCGGCCCAGGGGTTTGGGGGCCATAGCCCTTGAATGGTTAGAGGTGATTGTGAAAATGCCACAGTCGCCTTAAATGGAGAGTTTTTGAAAAGTTGTGTAAGGCTTAGACAAATAATGAAGTTGCACAACTAGTCACACTCTGCTGTCTAGTACCAAGGTGGTTCCACCAAGCTGGATACGCAGCCGTTTTGTTTTTTCTCTCTCCCATCTTTTGAGTCATTTTGATCAAATGGAAAACAAGAAGCCCTGAGCACACGGGAGCTCCCTCAGGTGCCAGGTGTGGGCAGACCAGACTGCAGTGTGGCTTGTTCTGCTGACGCCCAGTGTGCCCGCCCGTGCTCACAGTGTGTCTGCGACGTGCTCCTCTGTGACTGGCGTAACTGGCAGGCATCCTGTACCCGCTCTGTTCTGACCACAGTGGTAACTCCCTTCTGCATTTGCTTCTTCCAGGGACCCGGCCGCACCACTGCTGCTTTTCTGAAGAGGTTGCCTCCCCTGTGCTGTCCAACGGAGACCAGAGTCACAAGTGTGGAAGTCGCTCGTCAGAGAAAGACACCAGAGAGGCCAAAGTGGGGATCCCAGGATCTGTGTCTGTGGTGGAGAACAGCAGCAGAGAGGCTTCCAAAAGACAGGAGCAGCCTAGGTTTTCTGTGGACTTAAAGATGCCAGCATTCCACCCCAAGCAGGAGCTGCCGGGCTCTGGTGACAGCGTGGAATTCCCTTTGGGTACGGACGGGGCAGGCTCACAGCTCTCCTTGGAGAGCCAGGCGAGTCACCCTAAAGAAAAACTGTCGGATTTGCACAATAAGGAGAATGCTGGGGGAGGCAAGAGGGCTCTGGCCCCAGACCTCGTCCCGCTCGATTTAAGCGCAAGCTCAACGCGGGATGAACCCAGCTATAAGGAGACAGCGTCCTCCCTGCAGGCAGCTTTGGTCATTCACCCGTGTCCTTACTGTGACCACAAGACCTACTACCCCGAGGTCCTGTGGATGCACAAACGCATCTGGCACCGGGTCAGCTGCAGCGCCATGGCCCCCCCATGGATTCAGCCCAACGGTTATAAAAGCATAAGAAATAACTTGGTTTTCCTTTCCCGGAGCGGGCGCACGGGCCCCCCGCCTGCCCTTGGGGGCAAAGAGTGTCAGCCTCTACTCCTCGCTCGGTTCACCCGCACGCAGGTGCCAGGGTGGGTGCCGGGGTCCAAGAGCAGCTCTTCTCCCCTGGGAGTGACCACGAAAGCCGCTAGCATGCCTAAGAATAAGGACAGCCATTCTGGGGGCCCCTGTGCGCTGTGGGTGCCTGGCCCCGAGGGGTACCGACAGACCAAACCCAGCCACGGCCAGGAGCAGTGCGGTGCGGCCGTGCAGGGGCCCCCACTGAGACCCAGGCAGGAGGCCAGCTCCAAACCCATGCCAGCCCCTGGCAATGGGGGCTTCAGCAGAAGTGCTACCCCCACACCCACTGTCATAACTCGGGCCGGCACTCAGCCTTCGGCCAACAGCAAGCCGGCAGAGAAGTGCGGGGTCCCCCTGGTGGGGGCCAGCTTTGCCCCCCCAAATAAGCACAGTGCCCCAGACTCCCTGAAAGCCAAATTCAGCCCCCAGCCTCAGGGCCAGGCTCCCATGAAAGGCGAAGGGGGCCCTCTACCTCCCCACGAGCCCCCCTTGAAGGCAGCCCAGGAGCTGAGGACGCTGGCCACTTGTGCAGCGGGGTCCAGAGGGGATGCTGCCTTGCAGGCTCAGCCCGGCATGGCTGGGCTGCCCCCTGTCCTTCACTCCATCAAGCAGGAGCCGGCGGCTGAAGGGCACGAGAAGCGCCTGGACATCCTCAACATCTTTAAGACATACATTCCAAAGGACTTTGCTACCCTCTATCAGGGCTGGGGCGTCAGCAGCCCCGGGCTGGAGCACAGAGGTAAGATGTGTGGGCTCCCTGCTCCCCGGGCGGCTGTGTGTGAGCACCAGGGTCATCCCTAAATCTCAGGAGTCTTCCTTGAGTCACATGTGCCACCCCCCTTGCCTGCCAAGTGGCCCTGAGGGCAGATCCACCACGGTCAGGGCTGGTGCCATCGCTGGCCTAGGAGGTGGCCCCAGGTCCCTCCGACCTCTTTCCTGCTGATGGCGTGGTTCCTCACCCCAGAAATTGGCAGGCGCGTCCCTTGAGACAAGAGTGTTCATTTGATGTGATTAAGTTTTATTTTTCTGCATATGCCATTTAAAAACCCCCAAATCAGTGCTCCAGTGCTAGTCAGCAAAGCCTTGCGTGGGGAGGACGTACCATCTAAGGTCCAGAAAACTGAATTATGCTAAAGTTGCTGAAAAATCGTATCTTCAAAGGGAGTCCTCCCAGGTGTCACCATCGGCTCAGACAGCCACAGCAGTCTGGACATGCCACTCGTTTTCCTCATGTCGCCTTCCATCTGTGCCCTGTCCCCCACACCCTGTCCCAGGTAGAGAGCAGAGTCCCTTTCACTGAATGTCCAAACACAGACGTTTTCTGTTCTGTTAAAAAACAAAAGAGCAAAACAACCTCCCATGGCAGGCTGTGACCTAGGTGGTCCTGACTCCAGGTTGCCATGCCAACCTCTGATCTTGAGGTGTTTTCTCAGAACCTGGGCAGAGGAAGCTGAGGTGGGGAGAGAGGGTGGCACTGTCTTGGACACTCTGTGGTCTTGGCAGCAGCCTGCCCTGTGGCCTGTCTCTCCCACAGGGTGCCTCCCCTTAAGCTGGCTCTGTGAGGCCTGTCACATCCTCCTCACTATGCCTGACACAGATGAAGTGTCATGACCACTTTTTAAAAGGCCCTTGGTGCTGCCCGCTGGGACTGTGTAGCAGGAGTTACGTACGGTTTCTAAGAAAACAGAAGTTAAGGTTTTGAGAAGTTGCAATGACGGAACTTGAAGTCTGCAGTAACCAAACTATTTTTTCTCGTCCTTAAGATTTTTCTTTATATAAATAGTTCTAAGGACTTTCTTTTTTAAAGAGAGAGATTAAATATTTACCTTTTGAATATGAAAACTGTCAGATAGTCCATGAAGTGTGTGTGTCTGTCTTAGATTGTTTATCCTTCTAATCCAGGCGTTGAACCAGAGCAAGTCAGCACATTGATGCTGCTGTAGTTCACGCTGATCTGGTTTCTTAAGGGAAGTGTTTTAAACTTCTAGGTCTTAAACTATGCTTGGTAGTAATAAGTGGGTTTTTAGAGTCCCGGCATCAGGATTTTGAGGAGGATTTGAGGTCAGCTTGTCTGATCCCTTGGTCAGCAAGGCTAGGCAGTGCTGAGCACCTGCAGTTTGGACCCCGCCTCCCCCTTCCCCCCCCGCCCCCCGCAGTGGGGAGGACACCTACCTCCTGCCCTGAGCCTCGGGGGACTTGTGTGGCTCCTGGTCTCCACTTTGGGGCTGTCAGAATGAGCTGAGACCTTGTCCGAATGACAGTCCCCTAACCGTCCAAACGCTGTTCCCTTGCCTTTCCGGGTGAAGCGTCCCTGCTCGGTGGCAGTTCACCTGGTCTCCAGGGCGTCCAGCATTTCCTCTTTTCCTCATTCAGTGTTTGCTTATGTCGCTTTTAAAGCACTGTGGCATGGAGGAAACCCAGCAGGCTCGGCCTGGTCTGACTCTGGAGCAGTGAACAGAATATTAATGTTCCCTGTTTAGAGACACTGCTGCTGTCACTGCAGTCTGGGGTCTGTGTGCAGCCCAGAATGCCCCAGCACTGTCGTGTTTCTGAACGCAGTGATCGTTGAGTTAAGCCCCATCCCTGCGTCCGCTCAGCTGTGTCACCTGTGTGTGTACAGAGCTGACTTTCAAGCCACGAGTCTAAAACAGTGTCTTTCAACCATTTTTATCTCCTGGTACAGTTGAACCTATACTGAAGCTTCCCTGGTACACTTAAATTATGTTGACCAAAAAAAAAATTTTTTTTTGAATTTTTTGGAAAATAATTTAATTAATAATCTTTACAAATTTTCACGAAACACCTAGGATTCTCTCCTGGCCCACACAGGTGTGCTGCAGCATGCCGGCTAGAAATCCCTGGTCTAGAATCTCACTGCATCATCCACGGGCTCAGTGTCATCCTCTCAGCGTGCCTCGGGAGACTTGGCTGAGGTGCTGGCACTTTGCAGGTCTTAGGGCTTGGGTGCATTTGCTGTGCATCTTCTGGTTGAGTGTGCTCTGTACGTGGTCACTGAGGACAGGTGGTGGTGTGGCATCCCCCTGCAGAGAAGCACCAGTGGGTGGAACAGGCAGTCCCCTGCTGCGTGTGGGAAGTCGCTGTGCTAGCTTGTGACTCCCTGGTCTCTCAGTTCCGTTTATACAGAGAATTGGTTACTCGGGCTGCCCCGAGACATCGAGCTCTTTTTTTCAGAAGTTAGGAAAGATAAGTCTCAGAGCCTCTTTCTCCCACACGAGTTTGGTTGATGTTACTGTGGACATGAATAGTTTAGAATCCCTAGCGAGAGAGGACAAGAAAGTGACTGTTGTTACCTCCCTAGGGGTTTTACAGACTAACCTTTTAAGAATAAGAACCACTGCATTTTCTATAGTGTTGCTATCAGGTTTGCAAACATGTGAATAGAATTTGAGTACCTTATTGCTGGAATAGTCATAAGATAATAAATTATCCGTGTTTGCAGACTCTGTGCCCAGCCTATATAATGTGTTAATAGGAGTTTTGGAATAAAAAATTGAAGGTACTGGAAGATAATTCTAGATAAAATTATTAAGTCTTACTGGGATTTTAAAAATAATTTATTCCAAGGCTACATTAACATGGTGATGGGAGGTTTCTGCTTGCTGGAGCGAGTGCGTCCCTTTGTCTGTGGACTCTTCCCCGCTTCCCTCACAGATCACAGATGGCAGACTGCAGCATAGCGAAATGAGACTTTGCTGCGTCGCGTGGCCTTCGCTGAGGACTGCAGCCTTTTCCTTCACTTAAGTCCACTCTCTGTACACAGCTCAAGTTTCTGGGTCAGAGTCTTGGTGCTGTCTGCTCACCGGGTAGTCTTCAATTCAAATGAAGTTGGTAACCTTTTTACTAACTCAGAATTCTGGAGTAGCTTGGGCATAATGTTATTGACCATAAAGGGCAAGCGTCCTTTCTTTTAATAAGGAAGAAAAAGGTGATATGATAACGTGCATGGGAAAGTCGTGTGTGCACACACGTGTGCGCCGATGGGTACTCAGTGCAGGGAAGTGAGGGGGAGGCGTGCTGTGTTTCCTCTGTTGCTAGTTTGTAGAGAAAATAGCCAAACAATTTCTTAGAAACAAATTATAATGACTTTGTGTCCCACATTCACGATGTTCAAACACTATTAGGTATCCTGTGTGGATGGAGTTACCCAGTCTGTGTTTAGATGGGTGCAGGTTACACGTGTACTAGGCAGGTGAGCAGTCACCCTCCGGGATTATTTTCATAAGAGCTCGGCTGGATAGTGTTTATAATGAAAATGAATGGGAAACAAAGTAGCTTTTAAACGTAAGGATGGATGATATTCCTGAAAGGGTAAATGTGTCAGCTATTCCACAAATTTCTCCAATTTCTTTTCCACACTAAATATAGAAAATCAAAAGTTCTGGAACTGCAGTCACCAAGGCGAGCAACCTCTCTGCCCAGGTTGCTTGGTGAAAAGTCATAGTTCCTTAGACGTCTTGGACATCGTAACTCCTTATCAGATGTACAGTTTTCAAATAATTTTGCCCATTCTGTGGGCTCTCTGTTCACTCTGTTCTTTCTTTTGCTGTACAGAAGCTTTCTAGCTTGATACTGTCTCATTTGTCTATTTTTACCTGTGTTTCTGGAGTCCTATCCAAAAAATCTTGGCCCTGAGCTAAGAGTCTTAGAAAGATGAGGGGTGTAGCAGAGACTTGGGTCTCCCAGGAGGTCCGAAGCCACTCCCATGCTTCAGTCGGGGCGCCCTGCTGTCTTCAGTCACGGTTGCTTAGCACTGGCAGTGAGTGAACATCGGTTAAAATTTTCCTTACTGCTCTTTTTGTGTTTCTGAATAAGGCAAGGGGAAAGTAAGGACTTTGGGGGCAAGTTCTGAAATTCCTCTGATGCATCTTCATGACCTGTACGATGAGAAATGCTGTAAGATCGGCCTCCTGGTTCCTGTTTCTTTGCTTGTCTTCACGAACATCCCATGATGTAAAAAACAATTTTATGTTATTTTTATCCGGGAGCCACTCTGAATTAGGGCAGCTTCTCAGTAAGGTCCCTTCTGCTCTCCATTTCATTTGGCTTTTACATTCAAATGTCAGACTTAAGATATACAAATGCTCGGCTAAACAAAATAGCATTTAGAAAAGGTATTGGCACAGGCTTAGCTTTTTTTAGTTTTTATTTACACACACACACACACATAAATATATAAGTTTTTTTTCCCCTTTGAGTGGCCACGGAGCCTTACAGTGGCACTCAGGCTGGGGAAGGGACGCGGCTCCACGTTTCCTCAGAGGGAGGAGGTGTTCAAACAGCGGTGCCCCCTTTGCAACTCCCTGTCCAGTCAAACCCAAGCCGTCTTTCTGCAGCAGAAGGGTACATAGCAGGGCTGAGTCCAGTGTTGCATGATCTTCAGAGAAAGATGGGGTTTCCGTGTGTCCCACTGCTGCTGGTGGTCTGACGAGGGTGGCCCCCGGGGCTGCCACCTGGCTTTCCCTGGCTGGCCCATTCTCAGGAGTCCTTTGGCCAGGGCTAGGGGTTGCGTCAAGGAGGCCACCAGAGGGCCCCTGTGGGCCTGCTGCTGCTGGTAACCTGCACTGTCCCCTGGGACCAAAGCCTGGGGCGGCGGCTCTGGTCCTGCTGGCTTCCTGTTGTCCTGTGCCCTGTCTCTGTCATGTGGTGTCACTCTGATTTGCCGGACTTGCTGCTTGACAGAGCCTATGCGGTCAGGTGGGCATCCAGATGCTCCAGGCCGCAGACCCCTGTCATGCAGCCTGGCGTTGCCCCTCACACCCGTGCCTGTCCTAGGAGAGCAGTTTTTAAATTCCCTGTAATTTATGCATCCTGTAATCCTGGGAGTGCCTGGCCTGTCAGGTGCTGAGATGAAGGCTGATCGTTGTCACCAGGGCCTGAAGGCAGCCTGGTGATGACACAGCAGACAGACTAATGACGTTCTCCTCTCACTCCCCCCACTCTCCCTCTCCTCACCTCCACGCTCCCCCTGCCATGGCAACGCCACTGCCACTGCCACCGCCACGCCATGCCACTGCAGGGACGCTCCGGACGCAGGCCCGGCCAGGAGACTTCATCTGCGTCGAGTGCGGGAAGAGCTTTCACCAGCCCGGCCACCTCAGGGCCCACATGCGGGCACATACAGGTACCCCCTGCCCGTGTCCCCACGGGGAGTCTGGGGGAGGGGACTCTGTGTCCATAGCTTAAGTGCCCACAGCTGTGGACATTTAGATGTCGGCCCCTGTGGGTGAGGCCAGGCCATTACGGCCAGGATTATTACCAGGCTCCTCCCTCCGTTCAACACCTGAAATGGTTTTCATGAGTTTTTTTTGGTATCCAAGTATCATGTGGTTTAATTTGCGATAAGCCTGTTTGCAAGTGCTCCATTCTAATTGGCGGGTAACTGACCCCTCACAATTGATTAGTGGTGGTGCCACAGCATCGGCTGCAGTCTGAGCACCTTTCACATGACACGCCGCTGCTTTGGTGCTAGCTGGACTCTGCGGGGTGTACCTGGACTCCCTGGGATTGGGCAGGAGGCACTGCAGACCCCGGGCCTTGCCGTGCAGCACTTGCTTGGGACCTGGTTGGGCAGGGCCAGCAGGGCTCCAGAGAGGCAGGGAGACTGCTCTTCATCACAAATGAGAGGGCTGTGTGCACAAGCGGTCTGATGCGGAATGACACAGGCCAAATGGTAAGTGATGCAGGAGGAGGGTCCCTTCACACACGCGCTGGTAATTAATGTTGTCAGTGATTGCTTTCATCAGCAGCAGAGTCTGAATTAAAAAGGGCAGTGGCTCCCCGGCAGCCATTATCACAGCCTCTTACTGTAAGTGTTACAGTAAATCGGTATTTTCCGGCCACAGGCTAGACTCTGGTGCCTTTTTTTTTTTTTTTTTTGGTGAAAGTGATTAATCTGAAATGGGCTCACTGAATGTGCAATGGCAGAGAAGCTTGCAAGCTGGTGTGTTAACAAACCCCTTGTTCCCACAGTGGTGTTTGAGTCGGATGGACCCCGGGCTTCTGATGCTCACGCCACCTCTGCTGATGCCCCCCGACAAGTAGGTCTCACAATTAACTGGATGTCTGGGTATGGATGTGGCAGTTGGGAGAAGTTCGGCCATGATGTCCGTCACTAACGAAAGCACCAGATTATTTTTGTACTAGACATGTAAATAATTTTGTGTTGCTTTGGTCCAGAACCTGACCCTTCAGGGTCGTCCACAGGTGACGTGCGTTGAAGGTCACTTGGCCCTGAAGCAGGTGGTTCAGGTACAGCTGGCTGGTGGTGATGCTGGGAATGAGGGGATTAGTACAGAGTGATGACTTAAAACACTAGAAATTCCTGCTTTTTTCAAAGATTTTTTATGTATAAGTTTGCTTGAGAATAAATTACTCCTTTAGGAACACTGCTTTTGAATTACTCCGTTAAGAAATGTTTCACGTGCATTGCCGTGTTCCGTGGCATTAGACACTGCGGGCGTAGCCATAGTACATAAAAGTACCTGTGTGCAGGTGTACGTCGAGTGTATTGTTGCTCATGTGATTTTTCTACATAAACCATTCAACAGGCGCAGAGTGCACAGAACACACTCCTTGTGATGGGTTCTGAGCATTGCTCTGCGAGGCACACTCCACCTTGTGGGGCTCTCAGTACTCTTGGGCTATGAGCACCTGGTTTTTATGGCTCTTCCTTCTTTTTGTCTCTCCTAGAGAATGTCGCACCCACTCTCTTGTTCCTACACAAGCATTCTCTACGTAACATTCTAGCTTTCTATCCAGTTGCCCCAGAAAACTCTGTAACTGTAAATTCTGAAACTGCAAAGGCTTTCTTTGCCACCAGAGTAAATATCCTGAGACCTACCTGGGTGATTCAATCAAGTGAGCAGGTCCTGTCCTTGGAGATCTTGTCTGATGGGTTTCTGGTTTTGATGAGGCCGGTGGTGATTAAGACCTCCCAGGAATCTCTAGAATCACTGGAGTGGAATGAGACCACCCATGATACTTGAAAATTGTTCTAGTTCACTTTATTTGAGGAAAGAGGTAAGAGACATGAAACGGTTTTGCCAAGGGCCTACTCCTGATGAGTGATTGAGCTGGTGTAGAATTTACATTTACCCAACCAGAGATTTTGTGTATTTTTAAAATTTCATTTTGGAATTTCTGTTAGAATTTTTATTTTTGCTAAAGGCCTTTTATTCATGTATGTGTATCATTGACAGAATGCCTTGCCATTTGTTATAGTTTTTTAGTTGAATGCCTTCTGTCTCTCTTAACAAAGCCCATAGTTTTAGGATATAAGGCAGTTGTTTCATGGTGTTAGGACCATTTGTGAAATAAAGATAACATCTTGCCAAATACTGAATTAAAAGATTTCCCAGATGCATGTGACCTCAATTTGAGTTAGGTAGTTCTCTCTCTCTCTTTTTTTTTAAACAGAAATAAACCCCCCTTGCCTCACCCACAGGAACCATGGATGTGGTGTGGGATATAGTAACAGCAGGGTCATGTGTGTGTGAGATGTAGTAACAGCAGGGTCATGCGTGTGTGGGATGTAGTAACAGCAAGGTCATGTGTGTGTGGGATGTAGTAACAGCAAGGTCATGCTATGTGGGAGAATTACATCTTGAGATTACAACTGGAGCAAATCCAAAGTGTTGGTACTTACACAGGTGACCCATAAATCCATCAAAGCCTTGTTGGTAAGAGTGTTTGCCAAGGGCAGGGAACACAGAGCTGTGAAGAGCGTGGTGAGGTTCTCCAGGAGCACACACCAGTCTCTTTAGTGATACTAATAATACTACCTAAGTCTCTAAGGTGCTTGCCACAGGGAGATGCAGGACATTAAAAAAGCAAATCACTAAGACTCTATTTTAAATTATTTCTATGTTACTTTTCATGCTGGGAAATTATAATAATTGTCACTCATCCTTGATGCTAAAGAGAAAAGATGCATTTACAAGGTTGTCTTTGGTTCTGTGAAGACGCTGGGATTTTAAGCTGAGCACCAGTGAACATCGTTGTTGGCAGTAACTGAGCATTGTGGCCTTGGCCGTGTGGGATTCAGACTAACCTACATGTTAGCTCTGGGTACACAGATCTCAGCACCTGCTTCCTTGCCGTTTGGAAGGCAACGGTGGTTCAGGCCATAACACTGAAACCGAGCGAGGTTCCTATGCCTCTGTAGTCTTAATCCTGCCTTTGCGAGCATGGCCTTGGATAGGACTCTCTGACCTTCATCACGTTTAAAGTTGCTTTTGTTGATTTCTCCCTGGACGCTCTGGTTCTCTAAGGAAATTCCATTTTCCTTAACATTCTTTGGAGCTATAGTTTTAGAAATTCCCATAGAGAATCACCTATTGGCTCGGATAGTTGAAGAACACACCAGTAATAGGTTCACATCATGGGGTGGTTCTTTCTTACCCTACACTTGCTGTTGTTAAATTTGAGATATGTCAGACGTGCAGAGCAGTTTTCTGTAATTTGTGTCTGCAGTGTGGCTCATACTTACCAGCCATGTTCTTGCTCATGCTTTTAAAGTGCTTTACTGATGTTAATTAATGTTTAAATCAGATGTTTTCCTGTGGGCCTTAGAAGCTGTGGCTTATGGCTTTTTTTAGTTTTATTTTTTTTAAATCAGGCAACACTTTGCATTTATGCAGAAATTATTTGATGTGACACTTGAAGCTGTTGGACTTTTACTACATGTAAGGTGTATGTAGTAAGTGCTAAATTATTGAATTAAAATGGTGTTTGGAAATTCACTTTCATAATCATTTATTCACTCATTAACAATACTTAGAGCACCTGCCATGTTCCAGGCCCTGAGCAGGATATTGAGGAGACAAAAATAAATACTTTTCCTGTTCTTTTCGTGAAGGTCTTGTAGGGAGTTGAGGCAAGGAGGCAGGACAGAGTGGGACAGTACTGTGATATGATGGGGACCTGTAACCCAGACTTGAGGTGTCTGGAAGAACATGCTTAGGAAAGGGGGGGGGGATGTTTCCAGAAGAAAGCTGAGCATGTGGAAGACCCAGAGTGGACGAACAGGTGGTCCTCAGTATAGCTGGAGGGGGGGGTGCCGGTGGGCAGGGGCTGGAGCTTAGGTCTGGAGAGCATATGAATTTCATCCTGAGGGTTAAAGAGAGTGAGATGCTGACTTCTCCAGCGTCAAATCTTCAGAAAGGGTTTTGGATCTGGACACTGCTGAGAATGAATTTGTGGTGGTTCTTGTTTAGGGTCCGAGAACCCCTTTCCAGGCACTTGGCTTAATCCCAATGAGAGACAAGGTGGTGGAGTTGGGCTGGAGCAGAGCAGGTGGATCTGAGAGATGCTTGGGAGGAGGCAGAGTGCAGGCATCGGGCATGTGACGGGAGGGAAGGGAAGAATTGAGTAGATCCCAGGTCTGGCTAAGGTGGCTGGCCCCAGGGAGGATCCATTCTCTGAGCCTGGAGAGGCAGAGTGCAGGCATCGGGCATGCGATGGGAGGGAAGGGATTCAGAATTGAGTAGATCCCAGGTCTGGCTAAGGTGGCTGGACCCAGGGAGGATCCATTCTCTGAGCCTGGAGAGGCAGAGTGCAGGCATCGGGCATGCGATGGGAGGGAAGGGAAGAATTGAGTAGATCCCAGGTCTGGCTAAGATGGCTGGCCCCAGGGAGGATCCATTCTCTGAGCCTGGAAGGAGGAGCAGAATAAAATCAGATTAACTTCAAGTTAAATTGGAGGGGCTGCTTTGAAATCCAAGTAGGAATGTCCAATGGGCAGGTGAATTTAAATGAGTTTAAAGTGGAGAGGATCCTAGTTGAGAATACATATATTTAATAACTATCAACATTTAAATTCATTCAAAGCTCACTAGTTCTGCTTTGAGAGACCTGACTAATATGAATTGTATATTGGGTTATTGAGGGTAAGGCTCTAACTTTGATTAGACACATCTACTTAACCTAGGAGTCCTCATCTCTGAAAGTGATGGTAGCACTGCTCACTTTGTACCTTGCTCAGATGTGCAGGAGATGGGCCATGCCTGGCAGCATGCTCTCACTCAGCTGCTGTCAGTCATTGTAAAGATGAGCCACCCCCCACCCCCCACCCCTGCAGTGCTCAGACACAGGGTGCCTGCGCTGCAGGCTGAACACTCAGACACTGGGCACCTGCACCCGTGTGGGCGGGGCAGACCACGCTGCGGAACTGAATGTGACCGCTGCTTTTCTGTGGTGTCCCTGGCTTTGACACAACCTGCAGGTGTGCTTCTCTTGTTTAAGCGACTAGTCATTAGTTGACGAGGAAACCGTGTTCGGAAGACGTCTGGTGGACAGACATGGATGGTGTTCGTATATGGGACGGGAGAGAAACTGCCCCAACTTTGCTGTATTAATATCTGAATTTTCTGTACTAGAGTATGCAAACAAATCTTGCTATTACCCTATTTCTCAGCTAAGCAGTTCAAAAGGCTTGAAGCCCAGCTGAAGCTGCTGAAATCGATTTGATTCATCGCAGGTCAGCGTGAAGTTTCCCATCAGCACACAGATCAACTTGGAGGAGAAATGACATAATTTCTTTTGCTGTGTTGTTGGTAGCAGCCTTTTTCCCCAGCAAATCTCCTGTGTGTTACAGGCATATACTTTTAGGAGATCCTAGAAAACCTCACAAAACCCAGCTATTGAAGCAGGTGTTTCGTGAGAACATTCCTTGTACGGTTAGTGAGAGTGGAGAGGACAGTGGAAGCCTCAGACTTTCAAGGTCTGGGTTAAACTAGAGGGTTTCCAATAGGTGGCTAGCTCACAGCGTCTGGGCTTCAAAGCTCATTCTTGCAAGTTGATTGGTTGGTTATAAGCACAGGTTTAGGTGTGAAGTGGGTGGGGCTCATTCTTGCAAGTTTATTGGTTGGTTGTAAGCACAGGTTTAGGTGTGGAGTGGGCGGGGCTCATTCTTGGCAAGTTGATTGGTTGGTTGTAAGCACAGGTTTAGGTGTGGAGTGGGCGGGGCTCGTTCTTGGCAAGTTGATTGGTTATAAGCACAAGATTTGGGCATGGGGGGGGCCTTCCTGGGGGCAGGGCTCATGGGGGGTTCAGACATCCTGCTGAGGGGTGATTTCTTACAAACCAGTGGGAACAGAGGGGATTGTCACTGGTGCTTACTATTTTAGGATTATGACAATTCTGATCTAACAGCTAATTTTTCAAACCAAATTCTGTAATAAGTGAGAGGAAGAGTTCATGCATCTTGCCATTTTAACGAGGCTTTGTCATCTTTAATACAACTGAATAAATGTTTAGTTTCTAGTAATCACTGACATTTATCACTAGAAAAAAACCCTTTGACGATAATATGCTAAAATAGGAGTGCTACTGTTATACAGACGTTAGAGAAAAAATTAGGAGGCTTGTTTAATGTTGTGGAGAAATACTTCTTTTCTTATTATACCATTGCTAAACATTAGATATAAAAATAATTTTTGAAACTAAGAAAAATTATCTCCCTCCTCCCCCTGCAGCATCCTGGTTTTGGGATTTAAAGACCAAAGTGCTGAAATATGAAATCTGGCGTTTTGATTTGTTTGGATTCCTTGCCAAAATTTAAAGATTATGACTAATAGTTTATTTCTTATTATTCTAAATGTTATTTTAAAATAGTTAAGCTGAAGAAATAATTCCACTAATCAAAATAACAAAAAATAAACGGCAACCTAATTTATCTCATTTTTCACTATGGATACCATGATACCAGTGATGGAGAAGTCATGTAGGGTGGTGTATGTGAATATCTGTATGCTCTATTTTAGTTTCACCTTTAGGGTCGCAGCATCACAGACCAGATTTTGAAATTCAGCTCATTTGTTTAATCCTTGCTTGTTCATAAAACCAAACAAACATCTTAAAGCACAGTATCCATTTTCTCCAACTATACCATGTTACCGTAGCAGAGAACAGAGCTAGTGCCTTATGCAGGACGACCACGGGCATGGAAGGCCCTGGCTTGTTGGATGAAGGTCATAGTCAATAAGGTGTCAGGTGTAATTGGTCCTAGGCATTCAGCCTCCTGCCTCATAGCCCCATGGGCAGACCTCAGTTTCAAGACCTGTAGGTTCCTGTGTGACCAGAGGGTACACACTTTATTGTGTACACATCCTTGATCCACACCCATCACTCTATATACATTTCCTTACCGTATAAAGAAAAAAGGAGAAGAATTAGACCTCATGAAGTCCCAGATGTCAGCATCCATCTCTGGTACTTGGAGACACCTTTAGAAAGATAGTATTTCCTTCTACATTACGGAAAAGTCCCCAATTCACAGCTGTGGAAAAAAAGCCAAATTTTCTAAAAGCAGGCTTCTCATTTTTTGACTATTTTTTTCCTTGTGGGAGGAAAAGGCAAGTTGGATGTGCTCAGGCTATCACCGTGTGTCCACCAGATTTGAGTATTTCTGCAGCTCCCTTGTAGCAGATTCCGTTCATTTCTTAAGAACTCTGCTGCGCTGTGCTGTGAATAATACAGGGGTGCCTCCAAAGAATCACAGATGTACGATGATTCTCAAGAAAGGTGGTATTTGGACATATCCCATCAATGATGAAGAGGAAGTAGGCATCTGGAATCATGAACACAGTTCAGCCATGCTGTTCCAGTTATCTCTAGACGTGGCAGTGCTTCTCTAAAATTAGTATTTTAAAAATTTTTGGCCAGGTGCAGCAGCTCATGCCTATAACACCAGCACTTTGGGAGGCCAAGTTCGGGGAGATTGCTTGAGGCCGGGAATTAGAGACTAGCCTGGGCAACATAGACCCCTATCTCTACAAAAAATAAAAAGTAAAAAAATCAACTGCACATGGGGGCATGCACTTACATTTCTTGCTACTTGGGAGGCTGAGGTGGGAGGACGCCTAGCCTGAGAGTTCAAAGTCACAGTGAAGTCTGATAGTGCTGCTGTGCTCCAGCCTGGATGATGCCGGAAGGCCCTGTCTCAGACAAAACAGAATGACTTCCTGAGTCCTGCATTTTAAAAGTTCAGCCATTTTGGGGGAGAGAGCTCTCTTCTTGTCACCTCTGGAAAATTTGATTAGTACTCTACATCTGTGCTTTTTATTCTAAGGCATGTTTGTGGAGGGAGATCCAGGTGGACACCCCACGGGGTGTCATCTGTGCAGGACACACGTTTATTCACATCCTCCAACCTCTTCCCATGGTCCCTGGCTCGTCTGTTTGCTCCCACATGGAGACATTCAAGACCTACACCCAACAGTAATTGATATATACTCCCTCTTTCATCCCGATAAATAGGAGTACCACTGAGCTTCTTGCCTGAGCCCGGTCAGTGACCAGTTCCTCCCCTAGAACCCCAGTGACTCATTCATGGCCTGATGCAGCTGTGCAAAAATGTAAACCGTCTTTCTCCGTTTATAGCAGGAAATTCACTGTCTACTTAAGGAAGTTTTATCTCATCTCTCATTCAGTTACAGTTTCCTACATTTCAAATAAACTGCCATCTACACCACTGCGCCCACCCCCCAAACCCCTCATAAAATTTTGTTGAATAATTTCTAACTTCCACTATATGTCGACTGGTAGATTGTCATAAATTCAGGGCCAGCTTTAAATGGGAATTTTCTGAAACTGTTAACTAAAGAGAAGCACTTAATTCATCATGTCAGCCAGATTTCCCCCCGTTCTTCCTAGGGCTCCTACAGGCGTAGCTGGAAGCCAGTTAGGGTCTTGTGTGAGTGCTGTAGCTTGTGTCTGCCCGTTAATTTCAAGCAGTTGGTTTCACTTCATCAAGATGATTTTAGCTGAAGGTTAATGCAGTTAAGTAAGATTAATTTTGCCGTGGTGTTTTTGTCCTCAGATTATAAACGCCATTGTTCAAACAGTGATGCTTCCAGTGTCATTTGAGAGCTTCTCTGAAAGCTGCAGGCTCACATTGATTCTCGTTTTTATCTTAAGGTTCACTTGACTTTAGAATACCCCTTCTCTTTTGCCAACATAGTAATTATTTATGGAAATTGGAGCGAGCGCTCTCCAGTTCTGACAGACCTGTGTGAGAGCTGTGCTTTCTGTTTGTACGGCACCACTTCTAGCCTTGTTTTCGACCCTATCATTCATTTGTAAATCTGTTTTGTGCCATAGAATTTTGCTTTCTGGAATCCTTCCCTAATTCCCTCTTTCAGCTTTTTCTTGAGAGCCAATTCAGACACTATTGTTTGACATTCTTACATGTGGAACAGTTAAAGTCTAATGATCCTTTCTTAAATCATTGGAAATAATTTCTTTTTTTTTTTTTTTTTTTTTGAGACAGAGTCTCATTATGCTGCCCTCAGTAGAGTGCCATAGCGTCATAGCTCACAGTAGTCTCAAACTCTTAGGCTTAAGCAATTCTCTTGCCTTGGCTGCCCAAGTCGCTGGGACTACAGGCGCCCGCCACAATGCCTGGTTATTTATTTTTTTCTTAGTTGTTGTTGTAGTTGTCATTGTTTGGCAGGCCCAGGCTGGGTTCAAACCTGCCAGCCTCATGTATGTGGCCGGCGCCCTCGCTGCTGAGCTACAGGCACCGAGTCTGGAACTGGTTTTTTAAAGCTGCTTCCCTTTTGAAGGATTCAGGCAACTTTGAAGTATTTCATGCTTGTGTAAAATAAACTACGGTGAAAGTCAGGGATCTTGCCTGCTTGGCCAGTTTGCTCTGTGAAGATCATGGTTTATGTTCTTAGGGTGTTGATTAGAAAATGCATAGGAAGAAACACACCTAGAAACCAAAGATGGAAATGAGCTTTTCTGTTGTTGTTTTCTTTTTTCTCATCCAGGGGAGAGACCATTCTAACACAGGTACCGTCCAGACAGTGCCTCTCAGAAAGGGAACCTAAGGGCAGTTTCCGACACCCCGGCACCGGCTGCCGTTGGCAGGACCCTCGCAGACGTCCCGGCAGCCTCCCACTAGTGACCGTGAGCACCTGTGGAAAAACAGCTGGAGGACTCCCGACCAGACACCTCACCCCTGGAGCTGCTGCGCTGGAGTGGAGACCACAGGGAGAGGCCCCTCCTTCTCAGACACTTAAAAATAAATGAAGATGCTTATCCTCTAGAATTACCTGTAGACACTCCGTACGCACACGTGTGCCCACCCACCACAGTCCTGTACTTCTTACTATAAACAGTGGTACTGGCAGGCACAGTAGGGACGCCAGGCAGCATCTTTGTTTTCAAGACAAGTTTGAGACACTGGAAAAAAGATACTTGTGTGTGTACTGGACAGAGTGGAGAAGCTGAGCGCTGTGCCCGGAGGGACTGTGGAGAGGATGTCCGAGCAGAAGGTGGTGGAGTTGAGGGTGATGAAGTGTTGATACTACTGCCTCTCCTTGTCTTAGTGGGTATTGAAAATAGTGAGTAAGAGGGAGGAAGGAGGTGGCGTTCAGGTGCTGTGGAAACCAGGCTTGGTGGAGCCGGAGCTGCTGCCGTGACCCAGTTATTCAGGGGCTCTGTGGCATCACCCTCTGGGGCGGCCGCTTCCCAAGCTTGTTTCGTTTTCCCACCACATTCCCCGCCGAGGGAACACGCCTGTGGGGATGCGTGCGCTCTGCCTTGGGAGAGAGCTAGTTAACACTAAGAAAAGCAGGCTTCTTTGTTTATTCTCAGGACCTTTTTTGTAACAGGGCTACATTCTGCACCTGCTCACAAGGGGAGACTACACGTCTTACCAGATGATTCAGCCACTGAGTCCTCCTGATGTGGACCTGTTTTAGCGATGGCAGAAGAATCCCTGAGCATAGGGGGGGCCCTAGACCACTGGGGTTCTGATGCTCTGGAAGCTTCTGTCCTCAGCCCCCCATCTCTCCCCCTACCACTCCAGCAAGTAGGTGTCTTTTCTCATTGGGGCTGGTGACCTCCACAGGACAGGTGGCTTTGTTCCCAGAGGTGGGGGTCACCAGGCCTGTGGGTGGGGGCGGCTTTATATACCTCTTCCTTAGTAATGCAAATGCAAGATTTCGTGGTGGGGGTTAGGCCCATGATAAAGGATCTTAAACCATGCAGTGTACGCAGTTAAAATTGTATTCCACACATATAAATGTTTTCTTTCCCCATTGCCGTGACACTATGTGTGATGGTAGTATTTCTGAGAGTTTCAGATTTTTGCACATATGATTTTATGCATTATCAAAAGTTACTGCTGCCTTGAATGAAAATGTTCTGTGAAATTTTTTGCAAAAGCTTTACTAGTTTTTTTTTTTTAATTGTGAAAATTTTGTAAAGGCAGGAAATGGATTAAAACGAGCATGCTAAATATATTTTTCAAAAAAGCAATAATTTTACATGTACAGAAATTATCCTAACCTTTAATACTGGTGAGAGCGACAGTTTACTTATAATACAGTAATGGATTAGTGTGGTTTTTGTAGAAAATGGGCTTCTGATACAAAGACTTGTTTAAACACACACACATACACACAAATCCTAAAGTGTGGTTTTCTTATTTTAATGACTTGTTGAATTATTATATTATTATTATTATTGTTATTAGTTAATGTTTGGTTCTGGATTCTACTTGTTAACTGAGTTTAAATTACTTGACGGTTCAGGCTACTTTGCAACACTCGCAAACAATGCAACATAACTGGCTAGCTTAGACATATATATATATTTTTTTTACTTACTGTTTTTCTGATATCCTTACACCAGGTATGTATGAGAACGCTCTGTCCTCTTGGTGTATCTAGGAATACCCGGTGCAGATACTGTCCCGTGACGGTCCCGGACTGTTCCGTAAAGTTCCTTTGAGCAAAGTTGCAGAGACACATTCCTCTGTCCACCTGAGAAATCCAAGATCCTTTCTGTTGATTTGTGTTGGATCATTTCAGTAGTTTTCCCAAAGCTCTAATATCCTGCATCTTCTGACTTTTATTTTCTTGGCTGAAAGCAAATGGTGACAGTGAGGAATGTTCTGGGACGCGTGATTCAGTCCTGTCTGCTTCTCTGTGTTTTAGTTATTAAAAAGACATTCTGTACCCAAAGCGACACAAAAGTGTAGTGTACGTTTTTACTGTTGCAGACGTGGCCCAGGAGGCACAGCTGCGCTCTCTAGAGCTGGAGGTGTCTTTCTTGCCGGCCAGTCTCTCCCTGGAGTGTCTGGTGGGGGAGAGGGGCACACGCTGGGTCCCACTGGCAGCGCCACCATCCGAGTCTGGCTTCCCCCTATGGCCGTGGAGGACAGTCGGCTTCAATAATGTCGTCTGCATAGAGCGCAGAAGTGAGGGTTTTACTTAGACACGCTGGAGGGGGACCCTCCCGGAACACCACCCTCCAAGACCCGCCGTGCCTGGGCCTGGAGGTGTGGGTCCGTCCTTTCACTGATCATCAGTATTGTATTGGTTTGTTACTTTGTTTATGTCAGTTTGACCATAGTATTTAATATGATTTCTGTTTTCTTATTTATTTAGCCAATATGTTTTGATTTGCTTCTTTCGAGTGATGGTTCCCGCATGATACTCTTCTGTATGTCACCTCTGACTGTTACAGACTTTCTACTACCTCTGCCAATCTGCTGTTCCCTCCTTCTTAACAGGATTTTTACAGTGTTGCGTCTGATGTAACTGAGACAATAAAGGGTTTGGTTGTCTATGCTGCAGCTTCTCCGACTCTCTCCCCTGCTCTCTGCACGCTGCCTTCCAACTTGGCTTGGGCCAAGTCTAGCTTTGCCTCTGGCCATCTTCTCTCTCAGCCCCTCCTCCTCCCTGCTCACATCTCTTCCTCATTGAATTCACATAACACACCCATAATGAGCTCCTAAAATCTTTCAGGTTATTCACTTTTTTTCTTAATTTGAAGAATGAACATTTCTCTGAAAAAATGAGAGATTAAGTATCTTCTCTGGGAAATCGCCCCCATCCCTGTCCACATTTTTGCCTGGTTCCTGGAAAGTCAATTACTGTAATCGTAGATGGCTAAGTTTTCCACTCGAAAACGCAAATAAGCCTAGTGAATTTTGTCTTTTTGATTCTGAAAAGTATTAAATGTTTTCAGAGGTTACCCTAATATTTAACTATTTTTAAACCAAGAAAGATACTGGTTTCCTAAAAATAAGGTGCTCTAGGAATTGGCAGTTGGGAGTTACATGCAGTCGCTCTGAGGCAAAGGAGAGTGGATTGTGGAGCAGGCTGTCCTGGATGCAGGGGGGTGTCTTCTCACCTGCCACTCTGTCCAGGTTGCTGAGTGTGGTCCGGGCACCTCTGCACAGGCACAGGCACATGTGGGGTTAATAGTCTGAGGTTCCTCGGGGACACAGCCCTGATCAAAACAGGGGCCGGTGGTCTTACACTGGTGCCACTCCAGGTGGGAGGTTAGGCAGCTCTCTGGTCCCTCAGCCAAGGGGTGGAGTTTAGGTTAGGGATCAACAGAGCCTCTGCCGGATCCCAGGCAGCAGGACCTCCTGGGCATTAGTGGCTGGGGACTGTCCACCAATATTCCTTCTTTAAAACAAGGCAAGCAAACAGTCCTCCTCCCGAGCCCCGTGGAGTTTTGAGAGGTTCAGTGCTGTAGAAAGGAAGGAGGCGACTGTGTGCACACAGCTGTACTCTCTGTACTCTCCACTTCAGAATGTCTGAAGTAGCATATGCCATTTTACTGCTTTGAACTTCGGTGAGTTCTAACTGTAGAACATATTATTCATTGGGCAGAAAACAGAGGAAAAATTCACAGGCCAGGACGTGAAGTGGCGTGGGGCCTTTGCTGTGGTTGGTGCCTGCTCGGAGCTGTGGTGCGCCTGCGGGAGCAGCACCCCAGGGAAAATGTTCATTCTTCGTTGCTTTGCTAATTATACTTTGAGGCAGTAAAATGCAAAAGACCATAGAATTTGTATTTCCTTTTTTAAGATACAGTTTATAACATTATATTTTGTACTCTTTATATTAGAATTTGTAACTAGATTGTTGTATTTAACTCTATTTCTGAAAAAGTAATTCAATGTTTTAGTTGTGTGATAAAATTATTTAGATAAAACATATTCATTCTATTGGAACTTGAAATAAATAAAAACTTCTTGGAGTTCTTGAGATTTGTAAGACATTTTTCCCCAATTTCAGAGGGTGGCTTAAATTGTCTGGCAGCCTGTCTTGATCTGGGGTTGGTTATTTTTTTGGCTGAATGAACATCCGCCAAAGTGTTAATGCTCTTTGTTTATATAAACAGAAGAGTTTTAGGATGATTCATAAAAATAGTTCACCGCAAAAGATGTCAGAACGGCCCTAGTATTTCTTTCGAAATTTTTGGGGCCTACTGAGTATACACACACTTTTTTAAATGGATGGTGACTGTGTTTGCAGAGCACACCTGTTAGCTCACTAACACGCTGGCTCACACTCACATCTGCCCTAGCTCCTGTACGGGCTGTGCAGGCGCAAACCAGAGGAATTCTGAGTCAGCCTTACGCAGATGACATCTTTGCATCAGAAACTGGGGCAGCGTGGGGCCGGCACTGAGGTTTACTGATCAGATGGCAAACATTGGTTCTAGGACCATCAGCTGCAGTCATGGTTTTAATTTAAACAGATAAAGTGTGTTTTAAAGTTAAAAGATGTAACTATCTCTGTTGACAGAAAAAAGAAGGGAGGAGGTAAGTATTGACTGGTTTTCCAAATGTGGAGGGCAAAAAAGACAGATCTGGGTGTCACTGGCATCCCTCTGCCCCAGCCCTGCCCACCCTGCAGAGCCGGGACCATGGAGAACGGCGTGTACCCCTCCTGTGCTCTGGGATGTAAAGGCTGTTTGGAAGGCGTTTCTGAAAGGCCTGTGGATTGTGCAGACTGCAGTACAGACCTCACCTAGCTTGACGGGCAGCTAGAATTCAGCAGGAAAGCTGACAGCACTTGTGATACGACGAAACAAAAGGCCCTGGCCCAGCTGTGTGTGTGTCACCTGATGTGGGGCATCTTCTAGGTCCCGAGTGGGTGTGCCAGTGTCCCTATGTCCACATCTCAGGTATTTCCCCAGTCCTGGGCATCCTACAGTTGACCTTGTCCTGCCCCAAGGAGGCAGCGTCTCATTCCTCTTCATCCTTCTGCTCACCCAGCAGTGAGGAGACGAGGTCCTACTCTGTGCTGCTCCCTCCTCGGCTCCTAGGAACTGGGTGGGAGACTGGTTACCATGTCTCACGTTCCCATCTCATGCCAGGCACAGGAGCCAGGCATCACGCCACACACAGAACTACACGAAACAAAATGGGCCGGAGCCTTATGACAAGACCTTCATTTCTCTTCATTGTGCTGCTGGAAACAGCAGGGGCACGTTCCTAATCTGGGTTACTAATGTCTCAATCCTACTTTCTAAAAGGTGAGCATTGTTCAAGGATTTAGCACAATTAGTGAAAGAAAATGTGAGATTCCCTGGTCTTTGCCAGCGTTGACACATTCTTGGACTGTCTGGTTTCCTCACTGTCAGCTGAGGCATGAGGGCCTGGGATGATAACTTCAAGGGAAAGGGGCTTATAGAAATTCTCCAGGAAGCTGGGAGTGTGGAATGGACACACCCCCCTCCCTCTGAGTTCCTTCATGGAAGAGGAAAATTTAGTGACCAGAACTTCACAGTGAGAATGTCCACTTAGTCCTATGGCTGCTATGGGAAAATGCCTTAGAATGGGTAGCTTTTAAACAACATACTCACTGCTCGTGACTCTGGGGGCTGGGAGGGCCGAGAGCAGATGCCGGCAGATTCCCTTGGCTGAAGGCCTCTGCTCCGTGGATGATGCCGCCTTTCTGTGACTTCACAAGGTGGAAGGGGCCGGCAAGCTCCCTCCGGGCTCTGGACATGGACTCCGTTCAGGAAGGCTGTGCCCCATGACTGCGTCACCAGCCCAAGACCCCGCCTCTTTATACCACCACATTGGGTATTAGGTTGCATCATACAAAATTGGGGGTAACAAAAACATTTAGACCATAGCAAATAATTTTTTTTCCTTTTTTCAACTGAGGAGGATAGGGAGATTCCAATTCCAAGCCCGTGAATGGGCTGTTGGATCTAAGAGCAGAACATCAGAGCAAATTCTTAACTCATTCCCCAAAGTTTCAACTTTTAAAAGGCAAGTGGGATCATTCTTAGCTTTCTCTGTACCTAGATTTGTCCGTGGAAGAACTATATTGAGTCATAGGAAATGTGGTTCCCACTGATCCTTCACGTGTCCTATGCTGGGCTCTTCTGTTTTGGGGATGTCCTTTAAGGACTGGTGTTGCCCCGGGACAGGGGTTACTGGGGAGTGAAGAGAGGGTTTCATCGAAGACAGACTTCACATCAGTCGAGTAGCTGTGGAACATTTGGAGGCCTGGCTGGATGTTTGCTCCTGCCGGTCTGCACAGGAGTTATCTGGGTCCACACTGGCTCACATAAAGAATTATCCTCGGATCCGGACAAACAGGTAGTTTGCCCTTTGCACAAGTGGCAGACTCCCTGGCCCTGCTCCCAGGTGGAAGCTTATGTTCACTTCTGAGGGACGCAGTGTCGAAGTCCCTGTTCAGAGAAGTCACCTGCACCCAGACAGGCGGGCAACTCTCCCCTGATCTAAGGATTTCAGGCTGCTTTAAAATTACAGAAATTGTACAGACATTTTTTGTCACGTATCCGCCTAATAAATTGCTTGCTGTGTGGTAAGTACTGGGGTGGGTGGTGGCGTGGAATGGTGATGAGGATGGAACTTGCCCCTGGCCTGTCCCATGGAGGAGGCTGCCCTGGCAGTGCCCAGCTCTCATTCAGAGGGACACAGGTGAGAGAGGAGGGGAGTCACCTCTGAGAGAGGTCAGCGGTCCCACGGGGACTTCTGAAAGGATCTGATGAAATGACTGGGGTGACTGGAATTTAAAAACATTTCCTTTGATGTTACACCTTAGCTGACAATCTGTAAGGCCACCTTAGGAGAGAGAGGTGACGAGGGAATTCCAGTGCGGGAAAGCCTGAGGAAATGTATTTTTGGAAACAACCCATAGCACACTTAGAACATATTTGAATTGTCACATCTGACAAGAGGAAAGGGCTTGGGACCACTGTCACTTGCTCCTGATGACAGCCCGTCAGAGTGAGGCTTGCGGCAACAGCGTGAACAGTACGTCCATCAGGGAACAGTGGCACCAGTGAGCAGCTGACCAGTGCCCAGCACGGTGCACCTCGTCTGTGCTGCCGTGTGTCTGGCACTGAAGTTGGAGGACCAGCGGGGGTCGGTCAGTGGGAAGCTTGGGCGCGAGGCGCAGCAAAGGTGAGGTGGCTTAGTTGGGACAGGCTGAGAGGAGCCTGCGTTGGGGAGGTCGTGGGTCACTGAAACAGCCCAACAGCGGCTATCTCGGTCTAGCTGTCGGTGAGTATTCAGAGAGATTTCAGCACAACGTTGACCAGGCCACCTGTGTGCCAGGAGCTCTGTGTTCCCAGGTGCTCTATCTCATTCGAGTCTCAGCACTCTTCATCATGGGTGTCAGGAGCCCCCGTTTGCAGAGGAAGTGATGATCTGAGAAGTGGCACTTAACCCGAGGGACACAGCACAGCCTGTAGCCTGCAGAGACACCTCCCGAGTCCAGGCGGCGGGGTGGGGGGGGGGGCACACTCTTGACGTTGTGCTGACCGGAGGTGGGGCGTTCCGTGTGAGATGATCTGTGATGGGTCACTGCCTTCTGAAGCACAGACACATCTATCGCCTGGAGGTGGTTGCAGCGACCCTGTGACGTAGGAGGGTGTGGGTGCTGTCAGTGGGCTCGAGAGATGTCTGAGGACCATCTTGGAGTCAGAACAAGACGGCTTTGTGTTAGTGACCAAAGCTGCTCCTGGGTGCCCTATTTTAGGCTGGAGTGTACACCAGGGCTAGAGCACCGGGGGTTCCCAGGATCTGGCGTGAGTTCCAGACACACTGGATGCTGAACAGCACGACCCACGGCCTCTTTTTTCTAGGCCCTTCTCAAAGTGCACCAGCCAGGAGAGACCTTCCCGTGGTCGTGAGTCCCTCTGGTGCCTGCCTGCCCCTCGCCCTCTGTCTTCCTGAAACATCCACCATCTCTTCACTCGTCCCGCTGTCAGCACCACCGCCAGCTTCCCCCGAATGTCTCTCGTCGGGGTTAGCGAGGTCTCCGTGGTTAAGTATAATGATCATTTTCTCCTTTTGCTCTACGTTTTATTCTAGACTTTTCTGTTCTGTAGATTCATCATCGAGATTCAGCAATTGCAATATGTTGCCAAGTTTTGTTTTTACCATTCACACTCGTTGTGATTGTTTGGCTGGGAATATTTTAAAGTGATTCCTAGACATTGTGACATTTCAGCTGTAAATAATTCAGCGTGCATCTCCAAGTTATTCAGAGATAGATAGAGACACATAGACACAAAACTAACAGGAATGCTGGGTTCTCGTCTGTCCACACCGAGAGATACGTACAGACCTGTAAATAGCAGGAATGTTGCATTCTCGTCTGTCTACTGCTTTGGTTCCTTTTGCTAACCCCTGGGGATGACCACTTGGTCATTCTGCCTTGGACCACACACCCTCCGACATCCTCCCTCCAAATTGCTACCACAGGAATTTTATGGGACATATGTTAGAACACTCCACTCCCTTGATCAAAGTCTTTCAGTAATTTTTTATTACCTTTAGAAAATTCCTGAGTTCCTCCCTGTGCCATGCAAATCTTCCCATGACTCAGCTTCCCCGGTGACCCACAGACACTCCCAAAGGAGATCATTGTAAAAGATGCCTTTGCCACGGCCCCCGCCTACCTGGCTCACAACTCCAGTCGCCAAGCCCCCCCCTCCCTTCCTCCATGTTCTTCTACATACTGGGTAGTCCCGGTTTTACTGCACTAACCACATTTGAAACTAAAAACATGAGCGCTCTCTGCTGCCTCCCACTGCCGAGCTCTGAGCCACAAGAGCAGCCATGGTGCATCTCTGGGCTGCCTGAAAGCCCGGATGGGCCAAGACTCCAGTGTGCTTGTTAAATGAACATGTGGTGGCCAGTGCATGCCTCAGTGTCCACAGCTATGCGATGGGAGTGACCACTGGGATCCCACGTCCCT